GGGATCAATATAGTACCTACCTCCCAGGGTTATTGTGAAGATCTAATGAGATAATATTTGTAAAGTGCTTTGTAAACTTTGAAGTGCTTTATAAATGTTAGATATTATTATTAAGTTTCTCCCATCTTCATTCTAAGCCTTTTCACAGTGCTATGTCACTCACATAGTTAATCAATTCCAGTGGCTCCTATTACTTCTAGGATCAAATATAAACTCTTCTGTTTGGCATTTAAGGAGAAATAGATAAAGAATTTATTTAGCATTTAGCAAAGCCTTTCACAACTTGGCTCCAGGTTTATACACTCTTCCTTTTCACACTTCTGTGATCCAGCCAAACTGACCTTTCTGTTTCTCACGCGTGACATTCCATCTCTCATCTCCATGGCTTTTCATGGGCTGTCTCCCATATCTGGAATGCAAACTATCCTTACCTCTACCTTTTAGAGTTCCTGGTTTCCTTCAAAATGCAGGTCAAGCACCAACTACTAGAAGAAGGCTTTCCTGATTGATTCCTCCTTTACCCAGCACTTTCCCCTTCAAAATTACCTTATATATACCTATATATTTTACATACTACGTCCCCTGTTAGAATGTAAGTTCCTTGAGAGCAAGGACTATCTAAATTTTGTCTTTGTACAGCCGGTTCCTAGCATGATGCCATAGTAAGTACTTAGTAAGTGTTTGCTGAATTGAACTACTACTACTGCTACTGCTACTACTACTACTACTACTACTACTACTACTACTACTACTACTACCACTACCACTACTACTACTACTACTACTACTACTACTACTACTACTACTATGTAGTTACAGAAGGTTCTATGATCCCCATCTAGAGTCTTAGTGAAGCACATTTTAAAAGTTCTTTATGATACAAAAATGAAGATGCTCCTTTCATTGGAGAGGTGGGGGGACTATGGATATGGGATGTTGCATGTCCTGTCATTTACAGTTGTATCTGCTGGTTTTGCATAGCTTTTTTTCTTTGTTACAAGGGAAGGTTGTAGGGTGGGCTATATTTGGAAATGACTGTGATGTCAAACAGAAGACCTCAACAAAACAAAACAAAAATGGAGCGGGGGAAGTGATAAAGAAACGTGAGAGAAGTTTTCTTACTGTTCCATTCTTTGATGACCAACCTCCATGATCTCTGCTTACTTGGATTTCACTCTTGTGACCAGAATTCTTGAACTCTGTAGCTTGTCTTTAATGCAATGGTAATAACGACCTAGGAGAGACAATCTTGTTTCTTTGTACTGAGGTGCTTTCTGAATTATGTTTCCCTTCCTCATCGTTCATGGAGCTCTCTTCACAGCTCCTCATGAGCTCTTCACCAACTCTGCTTGCTGATTCATGTAAATAGAACAGAACACTGCAAAAGAGTTTTGGACCTCATCCCAGGGGCACAGGCAGGGAAGTATTAAAGGGCCTCATACTAAAGGATTTCTATCAATAAGCTCTCTCAGCATCAGAAGGAAGCTACAGTACATTTCAGTCTTGGGTAGATCTGAACATGGAGGACATGTAAAGGATAACGTTCTGTATAGTGGAGACAGTGAATGATACAAAGCCAGTAACTTCTGAGTTTGGATTCCACCTCAGATTCTTACTGGCTGTGTGACCCTTAAGTGGAAGGACTTTACTCCCTCTCAGCCTCAGTTGCCTAATAGGTAAAATAGGGCTGACGTGAGTACCTACCTCATAGGGTTATTGTGAGCATCATATGAGATAACATGTAAGGCAATTTGTAAAACTTCAAGTGCTATATGAATGTTAGCTATTACTGTTAATACCTCAACATTCCAACGGACCCACGATCTCACTGGTCCAATCTAATCTTGAGCACCTACTCCATATGAGGTGCTGTGCTAAGATCTGGAAATACAAGAACAAAACAAAAATAGTCCTTTCTAGCAAGGGGCTTGTGTTCTGCTGGGGAAAGGGAGAATATAAGATAGAAATAGATAAGTATGGATGTGATTGCTGGAGATGGGAGGGAATATTGACAAATAGGGGGCAAAGAATAGTTTCCCAATGAGAAGTGGCATATGAGTCCAGTTTTTAAAGAAACTAAGGTTCATGTACTCCCATCACCATGAAGAATGGCAAACCATTCACGCCTTCGCATCCTGGCCTTTAAGAAATTTTCTATAGAAGAGTCATCCTAGGGGGCTGGAGGCATTCCTCTTGTCCTTTTAAGATTTCATGGGTGCCAGTATGACACCGGGGGGGTCCATATCTTATCTCTCTCTCTTGATATGTGACTAGCCCACATCTGTGTCCCTGATAACATGTGTTATGCTAATCCTTACACATAAAACATCATTGTAATGATGTCACTGGCAGCAAAATAAGGCCATATATTTTTCTTCATCCCTGAAAAACCTATCGCTGCTGAGAAGTGGCAAGGTATGGTTGGAAGAGTACAGGATTGGGAGGCAGAAGACATGCCTGCCATTTATCACCTATTTGAGCTTGGGCAAGGCATTGAACCTCAGTTTCCTCATCTTAGTTGGACTAACTAAGCTCTAAGATCTCTTCCAGCTTGTCTCCCCCATTAGAAATGTATTCCTAGAGCTTAGCATGGTGCCTGGAGCATAACTTACCAAATAAATACTTTTTGATAGTTTGATCTTATGATCCTACCCTTAAGAATAAGGGCAGTGATAAAATAAGCCAGAGGCAGGGGAATTCAGGAAGGATCCAGATCTCATCAAACTTTAGTAGGGCCTTCTTAGGAAGTTGACGGAGGTACAGAGAGGTGAATGACTTATCCAGGGACAAACAGCTAATGTCAGAGGCAAGATTTCAGTCAATTAAGACAAGCGTTTGTCAAACACCTATTATGTGCCAGGCCCTGTGCTAGAAACTGGAGATACCAAGAGAAAAATGGAAGAGTCTCTGCCCTCAAGAGGCTTACACTCAATCAATCAACAAGCATTTATTAAGCACTTTCTATGTGACAGGCATTGTGCTAAGTGCTGCAGATACAAAGAAAGGTAAAAACAGTCCCTGCCTTCAAGGAGCTTACATTCTAATGGAGAAGAAAGCATATATGTGTATAGAAACACACACATATGTACATATACACACACATATACATACACAGATACATACATATATGTGTGTGTGTGTGTATATACATACAAGATACACATGGAGTAGATGTAAGGTAATTTTTGAGAAGTCTCTGCAGGAGACCAAGAAAGGTCTCTTGGCAGAAAATAATTTTTGTGCTGCATCTTAAAGGAAGTCAAGGCTTCTAAGAGATGGTGATAAGGGGGGAATTTGAACTCAGGTCTTCCTGATTCCAACTCCAACACTCTAGCACAGGAATTCTTAACTATTTTTGTGTTCTAGACACTTTGGGCAATCTATCGAAGCCTATGGGCCTCAGAAAGCATAAAATAAAATACATAGAAAGACCAAGGAAGCCAATCAAATTGAATTACAAAATAGTACAAAAACTTAAGTTCATGGACCCCAGGTTAAGAACCCCTCATGTAGATTCACCCTGCCACCCTGACTCTCTGTCAAGTGTAAGATTGGAAAAAGCCAATTCCATGATTTCTTAAAGCCAGATTGTCTCTGATGAGAAGGGAGTCATGGACCAGGGACCTACGGACTCAGTGGCTGGTATCTGAATCCATAAACATGTACACTCGGTAGCAGTCATTAAATCGTGTTTGCTCAAAGCACTCGGCATGCTAAGGAAACACATATAAGCCCGGCCTTTGGCAACTCTCCTCTGTAATATTTTTTATCTAACAAACTCTGCTCAAGGACTATGACCTACATACTCCAGTAATAACGCTTTTCTTGAAAGCCTTTTCAAGCTTGAAACTCTTTTCTCATTGCATCCCATAAACCACAGTTTCTGTGACAGCTATTTATGAAATGTAAATTAGCGACCTGAAAAGAGAGCCTTGCACCCGTGTTAAGTGGTCTGTATATTTTTATGTAAAATTTTGAGGCCAGGATAAATTTGTGCCCAAGGAAAGAGGCTAGGAGACTAATAACCCGAAGGAGAGATTGTAAAGATTGAAGGTCCATTAAAAAATCGGAAGCTTTTATAGGATTATAGAGACTCGATTGTGTATCTCCCTGAGATGTTCACCAGTCCTTCTGTTTGGCGAGATGATGGAAGGCAGAGATGTATCATGAGAAGCACTGTTAGCAAATCCATTAAAGAGTTTGCTAAGGGTTACTGCCGGGAGGATCTCATCTGCTTTATGGCCCTCCGTTTATTTCATTTTCAAATAACTGAAGCATCGAAGGAAGTCTTAATGATAAGGAGCCTGGATGGTTGGGTAGGAGGTGGTACAGGTTTCTTTCATGTGTGAGTCCATTCATTCATTCGTTCATTTATCAAACATTTATTGCAAGCCTACTTGTACAGAGTCCTTTGAGGGTGCTGGGGGAGCTCTAAAGACTGAAGATGACCTGCTCCAAATTCTCCTTAGGGAGCAGAGTTCTGCAGGAGAAGGAAAGCTGGATTTGGAGGAGGAGAACCTGGTTTCCAGTCCCAGCTTTGCTACTTACTACTTGGATGTGACCTTGGACAAGTCCTTTCCTCCTCTCTGGGTCCCAGTTTCCTCCTCTGCAAAATGAACGGTTGGACTAGATGGCCTCAGAGGTCCGTTCTAGCTCAACAATCCTAAATTCCTTCTCCTTTCAGGGCCTCAGTTTCCTCTTCTGTCATCTGAAGGTGTTGAACTTAGCCTCTGGAGTCCCTTTTCACCTCCAGATCTATCATCCCATGCCCCTACTGAATTCACAGTCTAGTAGGGAGACAAGACCTCAACAGAAATGATGAGGAATCTGGGAAGGCTTCCTGGAAGAGTCAGCATTTAAGTTGGTTGCTAAGACAACTGAGGTTCATGTTGCAAGGAAGAGCAATAGAGTACTTTGATGACTTCCCAAGTTGAGGCACAGAATGTTAGGGCTGGAAGAAATCTTAGGCGACCATCCCATCCTATTCCTTTATTTGGCAGATGGGGAAACTGAGGCCCAGGTAAGGGACATGCCAAAGTCGGAAGAAGAGACCGGGAAGAATGACTTTCCACTCAAGCACTCATTAGGAAGACAAATTTTTTGCTCTCCTTTGAGCTTCTGTTTTCCCCTGCATCCCCCCTCTCTAGCCATCAATCAATGACTCCCCCAGAGAGATATTAAAATACACACTTGAAAAGGTTGGCCTATACACCATCTGTTCACTAGCTTGACAGAGATTATTTAAAAGGGTAAAGGTTGAAGAAAGAAGGGCTCCTCACAGTTTATGCCAGGTTTGGGAGGCAACCCTATATGAAAGCTGACTCAATTTCAGCTCCCTCCCCTCCCCTTCCCCTTATCAAAGGCAATCTGAAGCCATGGGGTAATAAAGGTGGGAAGTAATGGATTTGGAGTCACACGACCTGGGTTCGAATCCCAACTGTGCTACTTACTAACTGTGTGACCTTGGAAAAGGGTCTTAATCGCTCAGATCCACCCCTCCCCCCCTTATCTTTTGTGAAACAGGATCCTATGAACCCTTTCCACTAGCACAATTTTATTTCTATCCCTCCCCATATCACCCTCTGTAAAAATAGAAGCTGCTCCTCATTCATCTGCCTTCCATTATTTATCTTTATTTTTATTTTTTTTGAGCACCCTCCCTGTTTCTTTCTTCCAGTCCCAGTCTCCCACCCCCATGGTACCCTTGTGGCTCAGAAGTCCCAGAGAGAGGCCACCGGGCAGACTTTGTTCTGCCCTTTGGGCAGCACTGGTTGGCGGGAAGGGGCTTGGAGCTCTCTGCACCAGGGCCACAGGGCAAGCAGCAGCAACCTTGTGTTTGAGGTTAGCGCCTCAGATCGCTTTTCTCCTGTCTGGAGAGCTAGGGAGCTTCACCTGGGCTTCCTACTCCTAAGCCTGGTCCCAGAAGGTGCTTACTGGGGGAAAGGAGGTGGTGGGGGAGGTGCCTAACCCTCCAGTACCCTAATCTCCAGGGTGTGGTGGTGGTGGCGGCAGGAGGAGAGGAAGGGTTCTTCAGGGCTGGTGTTACAGCATACAGGACTAGAGACTGTCAGAGCTAGTCCAACCCTCCTCATTTTACAGGCGAAGAAACTGAAGCCCAGAGAGGTGAGGTGATGTGCCCAAGGTAAACCCTGGTTAGAAGTAGGGCTAGGACCAGAAGCCAAGTGTCCTGCTTCTCAATTCCGGGTTCTTCCCGTGCACCTGGCCCTTTGTCAGGAGTGGGTTTCTCAGCACCCCGGCCATGGAATAGATTTGATGGGCAAGGCTCTCCAAGGAGAGGAAACCTCAAACCCTATGCACTGGGGCATCCCTGGACACTCCCTTCCTTCTCTTGCGTTCTTTCTCTCTCCTCCGCCCTTCTCCTTCTCCTCTCCCCACAGGGGCGGGGAGCCCTGGGGAGCCTAGAGGAGGGCAGTAGCCAGGGTCCTGCCATCTCCGCCCAAAGCAGCAGTAGCTGCGGCGTGAGCCCCAAACTCCGCTCAAGTTTCCCGGGCCGGGCGGTGGCTGAGGGTGGGGGGCCGCTCAGAGGGGATCCGAGCCTTGCTGGCCTTGACCCTCACACGCGCGAAGCCAGCCCCCCCACCCCCCCCACCCCGCTCGGGCGGGGCGGGGCTAGGGGCGGGGCATCCCTCCTCCCCGCCCCCTCCGTAGCTTGCCGCCTCCTCCTCCCAGTCGGCTCCCTGCTCGCAGCCCGGGAACCCCGGCCAAGCAGTAGACAGCCCCTCGCGGGTGGCAGCAGGAGCAGGCGGCGGCTGTGGCAGTGGCAGCGGCACTGGCACTGGCAGAGGCAGAGGCACAGCAGGCGGCTGCGGCGCGGGGGCGGCGGCGGCAGCGGCGGCGGCTGCGGCCCAGGCGGGCGGACTGACGGGCGGGCTGAGAGAGGCGCCAGGTAGGCAGGCAGAGAGGGAGGGAAGGGGGCGATCCGGCATCTCGCCTCCGGGAGGAGGAAGACTAGCTAGACGGGGTGGGGCAGGGGAAGATGGGGACCACCTTGCAGTTGGCCAGCAGCCGCCGCCGCCGCCGCACCTGAGCCTCTTACCGGTTCCCCCGCCAGGCCCGCCCCCTCTTCATGAGCACAGCCGGGCAACCCAAGCAAGCTGCCACCCTGGCTGCGGTGCAAGCAGACATGGCCCTGACTCTGACCCCCGAGAACATGAAGATATCGGAGGTGGAGATGGAGTGTTACTACTGTCTGCTGCAAGCGGCGGCCCTCATCGAGTCCATCATTGCAAGTAAGGGAGCTCTTGCCTCCGCCCCTCTGTCCCCTAACACCCCCAAGCTCCCTTTCTCCTTCGGTCCACCGTACCCCTCCGTGCAGCAGCGCTCAGTCTTCTGCCTCTCCCCTGCTGTCCGGCCAGTCCAGCGACACTGGCAAAGCAAACCCCCCCCCCCCCCCCCCCCCCAGTGCCTCGGGCTTAAATGGGTCAGCGCAGCTGGAAGCGAGTCTGGGAACCTCCTGCGGCGCACCCACTTCATTGGTTTCCCCTGTAGTGGCACTACTCGAGAGAGAGAGCACGTGGGCGACACAGCCACCCCCCTCCGCTCAAAGAAGTTACATATTGCCTCGGGGATCCCTGCTCCCCAAATCTGCAGGGCAGGAGAAACACGTGGGTGGGATTGCGAGTCGGGACCAAGCTCCTTGGGCTAGGACCAGAAGTCAGGTGCTGCCGGAGGAGGAGAAAGGGCGTGAGCCCCTCTGCTTGGTACTGACCCTGTAACTTGCCAGCTGGACTGATGATTTGGCAAAAGGGGTGTGTGTGTGTGTGTGTGTGTGTGTGTGTGTGTGTGTGTGTGTGTGAACTTCCTTGCTAACAGCTCAGTGTAGTTTAGGCATCTGTGTTAGGGACCGCGAGGCTGGTCGTTAGCCAGCAGTGATGCAAGCATGTCACACACACAGTGGACAGGTGCAGCCGGGGCTGGTGCTGCTGAGACACCCCTAGGAGCGCCTGGTACCACTTCCAGGCTCAGGCGAGCTTAGGAGGGATGGAAGGAACTTGAAAGCATCCTGGGGCTACTGGGCTCGAGCACCAAGCATTTATTAAGCCCTTCTTGTGTAGCAGGCACAGGGCTAAGCAATGAGAATGCAAAGAAAGGTGAAAATAGTCTCTTCCCTCAAGGCACTTAAGATTCTGGTGGAGGAGACAACATACAGATTCATTTATCCCTAAGAGATAAATATAGAGTAGGCGCAAGTTAGACTTAGAAGGGGAGGCAATAGCCGTTGGATGAGAGAAGTAAAAGCCTCCTATAGGAGGGGGCACTTGGACTGATTCTTAAAAGAATGCCAGAATTCTTGGAGTTACTGGTCAGGAGGGAGAACCTTTCACACGTGAGTACAAAGGCAGGGAGATGGGAGATGGGAGTGTGGTGCATGAGGAACAGCAAACAGGCCAGCGTGGCTGGTCCTTAGGCTGAGTGGAGGGGCATAATTTGTCAAAATGCTGCAAAGGTGGGAAGGATCCAGGTTGGGAAGTACTTTAAATGCCAAACTGAGGGGTGTGTATTTGATCCTGGAGGTAATAGGCTCGTTTTACACTAGGCACAACTGACTAGACTAGCCCAAGGGCACAAGGGTAAGTAAGTTGGCAGAGCTGTGATTTCGACCCAGGTCCTCTGGCTCCAAGTCCAAGTGCGCTGCTACTGACTCTGCCCCCATCCTGCTTGGGACTCATGCCAAAGGGTTTCATCTATTTCAAAACTCTAGGGCTGAGCTGAGCCTCTTCAGCAAAAGGTCCTGAGGACAGCAGGTTTATGCAAAGCATCTTCTGCAATGTCAGTCTGCTCTGAAGAAAGAGAAAAGAGAGTTTCTGTATCAAGAAAGGGAATTGTAAAACACACACTGGCTGGCGCTGGGGCTAAATTGCTAGACTTGAAGTCAGGAAGTGCAGAGTTCAAATCTTGTCTGAGACACTTGACGTGCCAAACTTAGGAAGTAATCTAAGTGATTCTTCACCTCTCTGAACCTGTTTCCTCCATAATCTGTGAAACAGGGATACTAATTGCACCTACCTCGCAGGATTGCTGTCAGTAAGCATTAAATTGGCACCGCATGCCAGACACTACGCTAAGTGCTGGGGATCCAAGGAAAGGCAAAGATGTGATCGTTGGCAATGGTAGTTGGACACCCCTGAATGGAATGAGTTATCCCCTGCTAGAATCCTTGGCTTCCTTTGAAGCTTACCTTCTGGTTCATTTCCTATGGAAAGCCTTTCCAGATTCCTCCAGCTGTTAATGTTCTCTCCTTGTCTAACTATGTGTATACTTAACTGTTTAAATGCATATTGATTTAGAGCTGAAAGGGACCTTCGAACTTATCTAGTTCAACTCTCTCTTTGACAGCTGCAGAAGCTAAAACCCAAGGATTGAGTTCACTTGATTGGGGTTACAAATACATAGGAAGTACTTGGCAGGACAGGATACAAATTCAGGTCCTCTGCCTTCAACTGCAGCCTTCTTTCCACTATTCAATCTCTGCAGTCAAATGGAAGCACCTTGAGGTCAGGGGCTGGCTTTTTCTTTTGTCTTGATATCACCAGCACTTAGCACAGTGAGTGGTGACAGTGAGGGGTGGGGGTAAATCTCTAATGTATAATCTCAGAAGTTTTCCCAGACAGATATTGGATCAAATAGGCAATATGTTTCAGAGGCATAGCTTGAATCTAGATCTTCCTGACTCTAAAGCTGGCCCTCTATCCACTACATCATGCTTGCTCATCTTGCGCATAGTAGGTGCTTAATAAATGCTTGCTGGATTGGATTGTCCCATGGGCATCTTGCTGAGGCCCTGGCCTATGGGACCAAGTTCTTTGGTTTTTTGTTCAAGTCTGTCTCTCGGGTACTCCACAAATCCTAAACAAAAAAAAATCTCAACTGAGGAAGAGGGAGAAGGCTGCAAGGTTGATGGCTGCTCATTTATTAGAGATAGTTCCACTGGGTAGCATAGGTCAACATTTCTCTGTTTCAGAAGGGAGGCACAACTGGGAGCACACAGGCCACAGTCCGCCTTCCCCTTTATACCAGGTCACCTGATGGCCCTTAACCTTTTACTGCTACAAATCCCACCTGAAGCTAAAGTAGGGAAAAGTCTGTACCCCTTCTTCTATCAAAAAAAAGGTACATCTGAAGCACCCTTAGAAGGAAAATGACAACAAGTTCAAGCTTACTGTTTTTATGCCTGAAAGCAGAGAGAATTCCCCACCCTGGCTAGACAGGACTTTTTGCAATTGGGGTTAAGTAACTTGCTCGAAGTCACACACAGCCTAGTGAGTGTTATGTGTCTGAGGCCGCATTTGAACTCAGGTCCTCCTGACTCCAGGGCCGATGCTCTATCCACTGCACCACCTAGCTGCCCAAGACAGAACTTTTTTTCTTGGCCTGGAAGTATTCACCTTTCCTAATTGTGAATCGATATCTTTCTCTGCTTTGCAGCCCAGTGTGATTTGGGGCTGTAGTCTCTGTGTTGTTTGAACATAGAACTAATGGAGGAGTTTTCGATGCCAAACTGTCCTCAACATTAAAACACAACTGCAGTCTACAGCTGAATCGCCCCCTTTCTGTGATACCAAATTAGAGTGATCAGTGATGCTATTTCTCTTTGCCCATTATCTCAGAGATCAAAGGATTTAGAGCTGAAATCAAGGGTTCTTAACCTGGGGTCCGAAGATCCCCAGGGATCTGTGGATAGATTTCAGGGGATTCGCAGCTTGGATGGGAAAAATTACATCTTTATTTTCACTAATCTCAAACTCAAATTTAGTGTTTCCTCCAATTTTTTAAGAACTTTATTCTCAGAAATAGTCTATAGGTTTCATCAGATCCCCAAAGGGTGAATTATGACACAAAAAATATTAAGAACTCTTGGCTTAAAAAACCCTTGGGGACCACCCAACCACCCTTATTTTATAGAGGAGAAAACTGAGGCTCAGAGAAGGAAAGGGACTTGATAAAATAATTATTTATTTTTCTATCGAACTTGATTTTGCGTACATAATTTCTTTTGCTTCTCCACAAAACCCCTGTGAGGTAGGTGCTATTAGTGGCCCCATTTTGCGAATGGGGAAACTGAGGGTGAAAGAGGTTGCCCAGGATCACATAGCTCATAATCATCTGGGGGATTTGAATGCAGATATTTTGACTCTAAGACATCACACTCATTTGGTAACAGTTTCTTCTACATATGCTAACCCCAAACTGCTATAAAGCCCTTCTAGGGGGTGGAATTTTCAGGCCCTTCCTAGAGTTAGAGAAAGTGGAAGAGATTATTATGAGCAGAAGTAACATACGGGAACAGCCCTGGGATATCTCTCAAAGTGCAATAGTCTTTATCTGGACTGCTTAGAAACGAGAAGCCAAATGCTTCATTTAGAATTTGTGTTTGTAGGTGAGGACTCTGAAATGTGTACAGTATGGGGTAATCTTTCTAAAAGATGCGGATTAGTGGAGATGGAGGTCATAAATATGAAGCTAGAAATTTTGCTTACTTTTTCAGTTTTATCTACCTTGTCTCTTTTTATATCCCATTTGGTTCAGGGAATGTTTCAGGGCTTGCCCCCCATGTCCGCCCCAAATGAACTCTCCTTTGTATAATATAATGGCCATGCCTACCAGAGCATGCAACATGTTGTTCTTGTTGTCCATTTTCTCTGCAGAAAGGTAGCAAATCTGGCTCATGGTATATTCTCTTTGACTGTTCTTCATTTTCTTGTCATTCAGAATTAATTCACTTTGTTTTAAAGTGATTGTTTCACTTACATGTTGCTGTCATTGTTTATACTCTCTTCTAGGTTCCGCTTATTTGACTTGATGTCCCATGTTTTCCTAAATGCCTCATATTAGTCTATTCTTATCACATAGTAATATTTCATTGCATCCATAGCCCACCATTTGTTTAGCAGGTCACCTCTTTGACTTTCAGTGACCATAATAAGTCTGGCTATTTGGTTGTAAAAGGACGATTCAGATTGGTTATTGTCACGTGCATTTGAAACTTATGGATTCTATTTCATGAGGTCTTTGAAACTGGCATTACTGCATTTTAGGTTGCGATTATTAATGACAAAAGTCATACTATCGTTTTCATTGGTAAGCGGGGCATATTTCCTGTTATGTGTGAAAGGATGACAAAGCCTTCTAGAGACTAGTGTTTAATGAATGAAATCTCTGGCATCAAGTGTGTAAGGGTATGTCAAACTCATTCCCTAAGTTATAAATGGTTTTGAGTAGGTAAAAGCCTGTTGAACTTGAAATGAGAAAGACCCGATTTTGAATCCCATCTCTAATACTGACTTTGTCTCCATGGGCAAGTAATTCTACCCTTCTGAACCTCATTTGCACATCTATAAAATGGGAATAATGAAAAACAGTAAGACTCAGAGTATAGAGAGCTAACCTTGGAATCAGGATTTGAATTCCAATTCATATGCTTTCTATCGAGGGGTGTGTCCAGGGAGAAGTCATTTGACCACTTGTAACCTCAGTTGCATCTGCATCACTTTGTGTGACTCTTCCCCTGCTTCTCTAAATTCTTTATTTCTGCAATAGCTACCATACAATACAGGATTGTATTAAAGTTCAAAGGAGTCAATGTCAGTCAAGTGCTTTGTGTATT